CCCCCCCCCAACTTTTGGCATGCTGTGGAGGCTAGCCAGTGCCACTGTTGATGGGGACTGAGTTTCCCCTCCCACTCGTTTAGATCGGTAATCCTAATCGGTGTGTCAACACATTACGTCAGGGTACATTTGGCAGTCGGAAGTGTTGAAGTCTACAGTCCAAAGAAAACTGTACTCATACGAGCGATCGCTGTTTTTGTTTACATCCTATACATGCAGATTATTTGAAGACAGGTGCAAATTACTGCTGGGCAGTATATAAGATAAGCCAAGCGTCACTCGATATTTGACTACTATTAGCTGTTACGCCATGGCGATCGCACGTATCATCAAATTATGATAATCATAATATCGACTCATCGTCCATGGTTTGCTCTGGTTGAATCGTTAACGACTGGTACAATCGACGATTGTACTAGCAGAGATCTTGATCTGGATCCCCGCTAAAGATAGAGACAAGAAACGATATGTACTTGAATCGTGACCGTAGATCCTGCTAGATCGAGATCTCAAAATATCCTACCTGTATCTATTTCCTATAACATCATCAATCTGCTATACCTTGAGTTGACTATAAACAGTGTTCGTGTATATCATGAAGTCACCCACGTCGCGTCTGATGTATGGGAAAGTCAGAGTTTATCATCACAAAGTGTCCCGACTGTAGATAGCTGGCCCACAGGAACACGCTTGGCACGACAGTCGGTGTCAGAATGTTGGACGGCCGCCATTTTGGGAATCATCTGGGACTACGGACCATGATGCACCGCGTGTAATAAAACATAGCGGACTGATTCCAAGCGAATTTTGATGTTGTGATGAGAGAACAAAACAACAGCTTGCTTCACCCTGTGACTTTGTGTGAACTGTTACATGTGTGATGTCCGATGTGCCCTGGGCTATGACGTAACACTGTGTTTTCTGTTTCCATTCCAGGCCGTGACAATGACCGTGAGTGGGGTTCAAGGTCAGCCAGGTAAGGCATATCAAGTTTCACAACATGTAGCCACTTATATATAATATAGGAATATAAAAAGAAACTTGATACAGACAGGATAGCTCTGTTAACTGTATTTAGCTGTTAACTGTAATAGCTGTTCACATATACTTAGTATACGCCTTGTATACCAAGCGATCTAAGAGCACTGGTCTGAAGTACGGAGGTGGGAGGGGGGGGGCGCCCAGTGGAGTGGGTCACAGAACCAGGCTGCCCATGATAAGATTTTATGTTCTATTCTTTGCGTGCTTCATAGGCAAAATGTCATGAAGGGTCATGAAGATGAACTTACTATGTTTAGAAAGCTATCCAGGTGACAAAATTGACGCTAGGTTAGTGGGTACCCCTTTGCCTGTTCAACGTATGGCATCACGTTACTGACTTACTGGAGTCTTTTCGTGACTCAGAATAAAGACGTCAGTATGTCATTGACTTTAATAGCTTGAAATGTCAGACTGTCTGTCTGCCGAAGTGTCTTGAGTTGAGGATATGGGAAGCATTGGAGACAAGAGTCCCCGCTCCCCACACAGACGGTATTGTTTCCTGTGTGTGTCCGGCCACTGTGTACTGAGGAAAGACATACATTACAAATACTTCCTGACGGACAACTTAGTCATCTTTCATTGGTGTGTAACAGCATTAGCTCTTAAATCGATGACTGACTCTTTTGTTCCCCTTATCATAGCTTTTTTTGTTCATTCGCTGGACGTGCTTTTTGAAGAATCATTTGCTTAACTCCCTCTTAGAGTCTTTTGGTAAAAACTACACCAAAACTACGAGAGACACTTCCCCCAATGATTTTAGACACGACAAGCATACAGGCTTAGCCTTGGTGTGGAATGTGAAGTTTAAGTTGCTGTTCTGCTGGCCAGACACTTAGGAAAACCCAGTGAGCTCGACAGCGAGGGATTATGTAACATGGGCTAACGTTAGCCTCCATAGCATGCCCAAAACTGGGGATTTGGGGCGTCTTCCGTCTTCAGGGTCTTTGGGAGCTTTTATGTGCTATTTTCTGATTGCATATAGAGAGCATAGCCGGCCGGGTTGAATTACCCACGTTTTGTAGAACTGCGCTAATCAGAAAACAGCCGAAGACCACCAAACCCCCCAGTTCTGTAAGCCTGCTACAGAAGCTAGCCTATCGTTCATCTAAACAAGGATGTTTGTCCCCAGTTCACCTCTAGTTTGTCATTTCATCTCCCGTTTGTTTTCATCCCGTCCTCAGAGAGAGCAGGCGCATAATTGGAACAGTGTGTAACATTTGATTCACGGCGACAGGGCAAGCCGTCACAAGTTCAGCTAGTGTTTCAGGAAGCCAATTTCATTAACCTTAAACTTGGACTTGAAGGATACAGTCTGGACGCTTTGACAAAGGGAAGGCTGTGTGCACTCAAAGAACTGAGACATTCCTTAAGCAAATAATGTTAAGTCAGCCACTGAGGTGAAGTTGTGTAAAGTGCCTTTCCCAAGAATCTAACCGGTGACATGTGTATCTTGTGTCCGCTAGCCTGGCCACTCGACCCATTCGACGCCACAGCTTTGACTAGAGAATCTTATGTCAAACGCAGAACTAGCGACCCCTCTTTGATAAAGTGCTGTAACATGTGGGCCTGATGTTGCTTACTTGAAGTGATTTTCTTTATTGAGGCCTGCGACCCTCTCCACTTAACTCCTATTTCAGTACTGTGTAAATCTGTGTTTCATTTGAGAACACATATATATATACAACCAAATTGCGTACGGCTTGAATTCGAAATTAGGCCACATTAACCAACGTGTTATGAAGCAAGTTTAAATTGTAATTTCCAAAAACACTAGAAATTGAAATTATCCAAATTTTTGTCTGTACAAATCCAGACTTTGTCACGGAATATGAGCAATCCACTGTTTCTGTGACGTAACGTCACGTTATGTAGATGACACGTGTACCTCGGTACGCAGAAAGTCTGTGGCGCCCCCCGTCATGGTTGTAATGGCCTGATGTAGATGGCCTCCTTCATACAAAATACCCATGTGTTATTTGAATCGCCAGATGCTGTACATGTACCATGATTAACTGGTAGAACATCATCATAGAACATGGCACTACCTAAAATTTATATGTATGTCGTAAGATTACAATGTAAACTAATAGGTGGATAAAGATTAAAAAACAAAGGAGAAAAGGCACAGGTAAAGCTTGAATTTATCCCATGTAGTCCTAGGTTAATAAATTATGATTTTATAATTGTTGGTGTCTTATAAGCCCATATTGGCTGGGCGACGTATGGTCGCAATAACACGTTAATAATCATTCATTCATTCATTCATTCATTCATTCATTCATTCATTCATTCACTCACTCACTCACTCACTCACGCACTCACTCACTCACTCACTCACTCACTCACTCACTCATTCATTCATTCATATAGTAGAACATACGATGCAATCTACCCGTCAGCTTGCGTTTCGGCATGAGTGAACTGCACCCCGAAAGACGTCTGTTTGAAATGTTTTAGATTTCAGCCTATCAGAGGGTTCAGAGGTCAACTGGAGTCTTAATGAGACCATTAGAGTCAGGGTCAGGCTCCAGGGTACGGGCCTACTGACGGGGTCCGTCGACTGTTACGGCTATGATGAGTGTATGGAGCCTGCTGTCGAAATGGTTGTCTAGATACTGTAAAGCTTATCTTTTTAACTTTTTAAATTATGTAAACTTGATTTGGATTGCATCAGCACAATGCAAAGGAGGAGCATCAGGCAGCTAGCTTGTATGCCGGACTTACCCAGGCAAGCTCCTCGACACCAGGGCTGGTATGCTGGTATGCCGCACAACACATTACACATTGATAAACATTGACAAAAAACGTCCAAAATTGCAAATTTCAATGCCAAATGTATTAGTTCGTTGCACCAGATGGATTGTTGCCTTTTACTTGCCTACACGAATACAGTTCTTCACAATGGGGTCAGTGGGGTCGTGTGGCGCAATGGCAGCGTGCGCGACTCGGAATCAAGAGGTCCCGGGTTCGAGTCCTGACATGCCACCGATCTTGTGCCCTTGGGAAAGGCACTTTACACGACTTTCCCCACTAGACTCAAGTAAAAATGAGTATTGTCTGTCCAGTATACGTTTCTATGTTCGGGACACAACACCATTTACCAGCAACAGCTGCCTCTGCTCCGCGTGTATTGCATTGTTGCAATTTCAATGAAATAAAAAAATAAATAGAAATAAATAATTTGCGTTTTGTAAAGTTAGCTAACGTGTTAAGACCACACTAAACCACTGTTGTTCCTGAGAAAGGCATGTTGACAGAAGACTGTGTTAAGTGCAGTTTGCCATCCATCAGTGTGGCACACCTCTATCCCGGTATTTGTTATCACGTGTAATGTTTGTTTTGAAGGATTAAGGCGTTTATTGACAACTATCTCCAGTAGCCGAGAGGCATGACTGTTCTCACGTAAATACTGACGCTTGCGTGGGAATGATAGATCTGTGTGTACTTTCATCACGTATGGTGTTAAGAGAACCGTTTTAAAGGCGTCCAATGCGATTTCAGAGCAGCAAAACTGTAAATATTCGTAGTAAGGCAATCTTTATGATATTGACACATACTGATTCATTCACTTTAGCACATTTGAATAATTATTTTAGACTTTGGGTATTTCAGAAACAAGCCCAAAGATGAGTCCTTTGTTTCCTGGGTGGTACCCTACAAATCAGGCAAGGGCCCTTCCAGTAACAATTTGCAGTCAGAATTTTTGGTATTTTTGCTCAATGATGGTCAATATACATTGAAATACTGTGGTTTTAACTCAGTACTGTATGTAGATAAGAGACTAGAATATTGACTTTGAAAAATCGGGTTTCCAAGCCCTAAAAACTGCACTGGATGCCTTTAAGACGGAGTCTTTCCACACTACCATGTCTGCTAATCCTGAAGTTTATCAGTTCGGACATATTGAGGCCGGTCTAATGAAAGACCCCTGGGGGACCAGCAGAACTGAGCCGTGTGGAAAGTAACATACTGGAGCCTGGAACACATCCTTGTCATTGTTGAGTCTTGCTACACTTAGGCCACACTGACTTAATTTTATGGATGACATCCGCGCGCGCATTGATTTTCGCCTGTTCTCAAAAAGAAAAATCATGTCGTATACGTCGCTATGTATTGCCGCAAATTCACAAAACCAGCTTTGTATTCCTGTCGTTTAGTAGCATTTTTATTTTTGGCCGGAATTTTTTTTATTCGCCCGCGCGCACTAGTTTGGTGGTCTTCAGAGGATGTCATCCATAAAATCAAGTCGGTGTGGCCTTACCAGCAGTCGCCGTACCAAAGGCTCTTGGTTTTCTGCTCCTGTTAACGTTTCTAGGGCGGTAAGGAAAGTGGTCTGACGATATTGTAGCCTGGTAGACATCTTATGTGAGCTTACCAGCAGTCGCTGGACCAAAGGCAAATATGTCATCAGCCGATAAATTAATACATTTAATCTCGTCAGCTTGTGTGATACGCTGAGGGGCGGTTATACCGGCTAAAAAGATACAGATACAAACCCCATCTCTCCCATAGTCTCGACCGTTAGGGCACAACAGATTCCACCCCTCTCGGTTTTCTGTTCCTTTTAACCAGCGGATAAGGCAAGTATGCAACAGCCAAAAAAAGTCTGAATGCCAGCAAAACCAGCATTTGACTAAAACTAAACCACCTTCCAAACTTAACAGTTGGTTAAACCTTTTGCATGAATAGGAAGACAGTCATCAACGTCGGCTGCGCATCTACAGTATGTAAAGAATTTTGTATTGGCGGTCCGGGCTGGTAAATGTCACGTAAATGTTCTGTGATTGTTTGGGTACAGCCAGCGGTGTGTCATGTTCACAGTGTCTATTTATGTAGATTTAACGGAGTACAAGAAACAAACTTCCCAGGGATGTCCCCCGGACCATCTGAAGCCGCAAGCCGATCAAGTGATCCAGAAACCTCCCAGGAAACTAA